GATGAACACTGTCAGCGAGCTTTTGATGAGTTGAAAAGGAAGCTGACTTCTGCACCGGTTCTGGTTACTCCGCAGAGCGGGATAGAGTATCTTGTTTACACGGATGCTTCGTTGCAGGGTCTGGGATGTGTATTGATGCAGGATGAGCGACCGATTTCTTATGGATCTCGGAAACTTAAGCCTCATGAGCTTAATTATCCAACACATGATTTAGAGTTGGCAGCAGTGGTCTTTGCCTTGCGTATTTGGAAGCATTATCTGTTGGGTGAGTCCTTCAGATTATTCAGTGATCACAAGGGTCTATAGTACTTGTTCACTTAGCGGGAACTGAATATGAGACAGCGCAGGTGGTTGGAGTTTGTAAAAGACTATCATTTTTTTTTATATAGTACCATCCAGGGAAAGCGAATGTAGTGGCAGATGCACTCAATTGCCGACCTGTTGGTAGTCTTTCTGCTCTATTCACTACTGAGTGGAATGCTTTGAATAGTGTGGATGAGTTATCGGATGCTTTTATGGCTTGCATGGTGGTTACACCTTCCATCATTCGCAAGGTTTTACAAGCACAACTCACCGATCAGCAGTGTGTCGACAAGGTCGCAGAGATAGCTTCCGGGGAGGTTCCATTCTACTACGTTGGGGCTGATGGAGGTTTAAGGTACAAGGGACGGTTAGTGGTACCTTCGGCTGATGGTTTGAGGAAGGATGTGATGACTGAGACTCATCACTCTGAGTTATCTGTTCATCCAGGAGGCGATAAGATGTATCAAAATATGAAGCGGCAGTTTTGGTGGGCAGGTATGAAGAGGGACATTGCTCTTTTTGTTTCTTAGTACTTGTCAGATGGTTAAGATTGATCATCAGAGGCCGCCAGGAGCTCTACAGCCACTACCGATACCGGAGTGGAAATGGGAGAGCATTTCTATGGATTTTGTGGAAGGATTGCCAAATTCTTTCAAGGGGCATAATTCCATATGGGTCATTGTGGATAGGTTGACCAAGTCAGCTCATTTCTTACCTATTTGCACTGACTACACTTCGGAGCAGTTGGCGAGGCTTTACATTTCAGAGATTGTGAAGTTACATGGCATTCCATTGTCTATTATATCGGACAGGGATTCGAGGTTTGTATCTGGATTTTGGAAGAGTTTTCAGCAGGCTTTAGGTATGGAGTTACACCTTAGTACTGCTTATCATCCTCAGACTGACGGACAGACTAAGAAGGTGAATCAGATTATGGAAGATATGTTTCGGTCGTGTGTTCTGGATTTCAAGGGCCACTGGGAGGAATATTTACCACTTGTGGAGTTTGCTTATAACAATAGTTTCCAGAAGACTATTGGGATGGCACCTTTTGAGGCGTTGTACGGACGACCGTGTCGATCACCTGTTTGTTGGATGGAGGTTGGAGAGAATCGATTCTTAGGTCCTGAGTTTATCAAGGATACCTCTGAGAAAATTGCTCTTATTCGAGAGCGCATGCGTACTGCCCAAAGTAGGCAGAAGAGCTATGCTGATCGTCGCACTCGTGCTTTGGAGTTTCGGGTTGGGGATCAGGTTCTTCTTAAAGTATCTCCTATGAAGGGTGTTATGCGCTTTGGGAAGAAAGGGAAGTTGTCTCCGCGGTTTGTCGGTCCATTCATGATTACGGATTGAATTGGAGCTGTTGCTTATCGGTTGGCACTGCCGGATAACTTGGATCGCGTTCACAACGTGTTTTATGTTTCCATGTTGCGAAAATTTCTGCGCGATGAGGATCGATATCAGCATATCGATGTTGGGGAGATTGAGTTGCAGCCGGATGCAACTTATTTGGTGCCACCTTGTCGTATTGTTGACCATCGGGATCAAATCCTTCGCAATAAGGTTATCCCTTTGGTTCGTGTGCAGTGGAGTCATCACAATGAGGCTGAGTCCACTTGGGAACGGGAGGATGTCATTCGCTCGCAGTTTCCTAAAATATTGGAAGAAGGTAAGAGCGAATTCCGAGGACGGAATTCCTTTTATTAGGGGGAAGAATGTAATACCCCTAATTTTAAAAGGATAGTCGTGGCATTTATTTAATTGTTTAATCTTTTATTTAATTGTTTAATTGCGTGTTATTCTATAAATTGGTTATTTTAATTGTGTGTTTCTTCCATGGTTATTTAAATTTGATTTTGTTTTAATTAATGGTTTATATTGTTTTGTTTTCTTTTATTAAATTATTTTAAATTAAATTATTTTTATGATGTTTTATTTGACTTGATAATTGGTTTTATTTAATTAAATTGGTTTAAATTAGGATTGTGTTTTTCTGTATATTCACGTATTAGCCGACATAGGTTATAACTTAGGTTGTTCTTCGGCCGACTAAGTGTTGCATTAGGGCTCAAATTATACAAGGATTAGGGTTGGATTACTATGCCTATATATATGACCTTATGTGGGTTTAGAGTTGGAGGAAAAAAATACGTAAAACTCTATTCCCGTATACAGTGATATAGAGAATTGTGGGAGTAGAGAAACAGAGAGGGAACTTGAGTAAATAACAGAGAGGACCAAGGGAGGATTTTGGTGGATTAGATCAGAAGTAATAGGAGGCTAGACAGTGTTGCAGTTGTTGCCAGAAGTTAAGACGACGGCGACAAGTTTTGAGTCTAAAACAACAAGCAAGTTCTTTTCCTTCTTTTTCCCTTTGCTTGTGTTCTGTGCACCTAGGTGGTCTCTAGGATTTAATTAAGAATTAACTGGGTTTCTTATGTATATTTGATGGTATATCGATGTTCTGTATGTGTGGGAATTTATCTAGTTACAGTTTGTGCGTGTCTGTGATTTATTTGTTTCTTGAAGCATGAAAATCTTATAAATCTGTATCCTCTGTTTTTGTATGTAATTGCTATAAACACATCTTGAGAATGATACTGGACTTAGATGGAACTCTTAGGATCAATTTAAAACCAACTGGACAGATTGTGAATGGCCGGAAACACTGCAGAAAGTTACAAAAGGGAACAGAGGTTGAAGGAGGCTCGAGGAGGAGGAGAGAGTCGGCTCTGGAATGCAGAGAGCCGGCTCCCCCATCAAAGAGCCGACTCTAGGAGAGGTAGAGCCGGCTCTAGGCTGCTAGAGCCTGCTCCCAAAATTTGGAGCAGGCTCCCTCTTCCATTTTGCACACTGATATGTTTTTTTTTTTGTGTTTTTACGAACTGTGTGTTAATATTTGGAGCATGAAAATTATTCTGTTTAATCTGGGGTTGTACAGGGTGATTAGGAAGATGGTTTTGGGCATTACTAAGACTTAAAACTAATTAGAATTCAGTTCTAATTACTTGGAACAAACAGTAACAATTTAGTGAAACTATGTATACGGTTAACGGATGAAAGGTGGATTAAGCGCTTAATTAAATTTTAGCAATATAATGGGAAGTAGGATGGTTATAAAACCTATTTTAAATGCATGGTAGGGTTCTCTGTGTATTTATGTTGATCTATTCATGCAATGGGATGTTAATTGTCGAATTATTAAACTTTTTCAGCAACTACTTGGATTACCGTTGGAATTTAATTGTTAGAATATTAATCAACGTCTCTGCGATTCTTTGGATGTTAGTTTGAACTAAAATTTACCATCTGTATATTTATTTTGCTGTATACATGCTTTGAGATGTTAATTTTTGAAATGGTAAATTCTTTCTACAAATACATGGATTAGTGTTGGATTTAAATTGCTAGATCAACAAAACCTTTTATGCAATTATTTGGATATTAGTTTAGACTGTAAATTATTCAGTTATGAATTAAACGCTGTAATTTACATGGATATGGAGGATTGTATGCACCGGTATGGGACGATGACATACTAAGGATGGTTTAGCTTAAAAACGCTAAACTAACCTACCGGATGGAAAGAATGGATTATAAATTATTGAATCCATCAATGTGCTTAAGTCAAATCAACTGACTAGGTTGAATGACTCCTTGGATTAATTGGTTGTGGTTAAGTCACTTCAACTGAATAAGTTGAGTGCTTATCTAGACGGTATTTGGTATGTCTCTTCATTGAATAGGTGAATGACATAATATGGTTTCGGATGGACTTTAGATATATGGTTATGATACCACGATATGAGCGTGAGTCTCAGAGTCGTTGGTTAGGGTGCGTATATGCAGTGGATGCGTAGCTGGATATAGTCGGTAGGTGTACCCTGTTAGGTCTATGTACTCATGCCCACCTTTGGGTGCGTTTTCGCATGTTGCCTTCTATTCAGGTTGAGACCTCTACTATAGTCCAGTGAATGTCCTTAGTGTGGATATATATATGTAGATTTATGGATTACGTAGTTATGTTGAGGGTATCTTGGGTGTATCTGCGTATCGGGCACTGTATGAATTACAGTTGGAATAGGACTTGCATGTGGGGCCTGACCCACTTCTTTATTTTTCAGGTGCTCGTCAGTTCCAGGGTTAGAGTTTGGACGTGTAAGCAGATACAGCTATTCATTCCTCCGATTATGTAGGAGTCTTCTCTATGTTAGTTTTGGATTTTATTTTTATGGTTTTTCAGTATCTTTTGGAGATTTTTAATAAGGGGTCCAATGGATGGATTCCCGAGTTGTAAACTTATGGAGTTTTGGATTAACAGGTTTTAAGTATTTATTTATAAAGGATTTTATTTCTAAATTCTTTCAGCTTATTATTTTTAATTCTGATTTTATCTTGTATTCCGTGTTCGGTTACATATTAATTGTTTGATATCCCTCGGGTTTGGGCCTGGGCCTGATCAACCCGTGTCTCGGATCCGAGGGGTATCACAAAAACAGAAACAACAAAGACAAAAAATAATTTCAGCCGCTTCTCATTTTTGAAAACATACCCTCACAAAGTTAAAGAGAGAGAGAGAGAGAGAGAGAGAGAGAGAGAAGTAGAGAGAATATTTTAATTCAAAATTTTAAAATAAACATTTATAGATTATAAAGTAAAATATAAATAATACAAAAGGATAAATTTAAAAAACTCACACACAGCCCGATAGGTGTAGTGATTGAAGAATCAGAATTCTATCTTGGCTCTTTTGAAGTTTTAGCACCATCAATTCCAATGATTCCACTAGTCAACACTAACAAAACTAAGTCGGCATTGGTTAAAAGCCTTTCCTTACTCGACCCTGCAAATAGAAAAAATAATAATAATAAAGAAAGAAAATAAGCAAATGCATCAAACATAATTATATTAAACTAAATTTTAAGTGTTGGCAATGTGAGTTTACCTTCTCATAGAGAGCATTAAGAGCATCGGTCCTAAGATATTTTATTTATTTAGATCCCAAAAATAAAAAGTTCCCAAAAATCAAAAGGTTCACAAATTATTAGAAAACAAAAGATCAATTGCAATGAAATAAGCTGCATGTCCTAAAATATTTTATTTATTTACAAGCGCTTCACTTGTAACTCCAATTAAATCAAGTCTGGGGTGGAAGGGAAACATGCCCAGTTTATGCAAAAAATGCAAGCATGAACTCGCTAACTTAATAATTTGATTAACCCACCCAAATGTGTGGTTCACATAGCTAGTCCCTGATAAAGTTAGAAAATTTTCTACCTTCTTCATATTAGCATGTTCACTGATTGATAAAATTTTATTCTATGTTTTATAACCTGCAGAATGATTAACCCAACCAAATGTGTGGTTCTCGTAGCTAAGTCGCTACCATAGTTATCAAATTTTATTCTATGTTTTATAATCTAACTGATTGCAAAAAATTAAATTTTTTTTTTTTAACTTATAGAATGATTAACATTAACCCAACCAAATGTGTGGTTCTCATAGGAAAGTCCCTGCTATAGTTATACAATTGTACAGGGAGATTGATGTTTTTCAATTGTACAGGGAGTTTTAAAACAGTTTTGGTTTGGAAAGATAATTAAGTACCTGGAACTACTTAGTCAATCAATATAAACCTAAAGAATCCTTAGTTATTTGTATATTTGACTTAATAATTTGATAGATAGTATGATATTTTGGTGTTTGAGAATTTATCTTCCCAAATTTTTTATTGTATCTTTGAAATCTAAATGCCTTAGAGTTAGTCCGAGAATAATTTTTTATTCTTAAAGAACTGAAAAAATAAAATAGTTCAAATTTTTTTATTTAATTAACAAATTTCTGAAAGCTAAAAAAAAAAAAAATAAATAAATAAATAAATAAAATAAAAAAATAACTTGTATTGAGCATGTTCTTGTTGATTGTTTTTTGCTCTCAGGATCCTCTTTTAACACAATGCATTGTTGGAGCATGTCCAATCAATTAACAATAACTAAGAAAATTAACAAGAACACATACAAAAAGATAGGGTTTGCTGTAAATTAAATCAGAATTAATCACTTCCAAAAACCCTAATCAACAAAATGCAATATTAGATTTTAAAATACCAAGAAGAAAAAGGAACAATTTGTCAATTGATTGAGAGATATCAGTTTGAGATTTGAACTTACAGAGATTTTAGGGCTTTATGCAGTGATTTATAGGTAGTTCGAGTTCTCTTCTCTTTCTATATCTCTCTAAGGAGAAGTCAATTTTTGAAGGAGCAAGACAGGAAATCTTCCGGTGGTAGGGCAGCCGATTGTTGATGGAGATGGCAAAGGCAGCCGGCTGTTGATGGAGATGGCAACGCTAGGTTTGAGAAAATTATGTGCAGCCAGTGATAGAAAATGGCGAACAAAGTAGTGAGAGAAAATGGCGGGCAAAGTAGTGGGGAAGTAGGTTAATTTGATCGACATTGGGAGAGAGAAGGGGGCAGTGGGATAAAGTGATGGGAGCAGATAGTTAAGGAGATTATGATATACCCAATAATGAAATCATTTTTTATTTTAGGGTATTTTATGATTAAAACGGCACCGTATTTACACAAAGTTTTTGGGATTAAGATAAGGTTGTATGTAATATCTGAAGGACACTAAAAAAAAAATGGTAAATAAAATAAGAATCATCCGGGAACTTTTCCCGCTAAGCAATTGGTCACGAATTAATCAATTTGTCCCTGAAAACATATACAAATAATGACAAATTAATATTTTGTCCCCAAAAAACTACTTTTAGGGATGAAATAAATTTTGTTCCTAAATTTTTGTCACAAAAAGTCACTTTTGTTGTAGTGTCTTCTACAAGTCTTGTAGACTTGTGACCATGTCCCCCTACCGGTCCTATATTCAAAACTTCCTTCTGCAACGGGCACAACCAACCATTCATATTGAACTGTCCAATGCGTGTGTTGCAAGATGCAACTAGCGCAAGGAAATTTTTCTCCAATGGTTGACACTAAGGTCATTAGAAGTTCATTCCAGATGCTATTATTAAATTTTCTAACCCGTAAGACACTCTCATTCTATGAAGACTTTCCAAATGCTATTACCTTTTCTAACGCTAAAGACACGACACAATGAAATTATTAGATGTTTTATTCCACGAAGACTTTCCAAATGTTATTATCTTTTCTAACCCAGAAAACACGACACAATGAAATTATACTTGTGTGACTTGGAAGGAGAACCTTACAGGAAAGACTATGTTTTAAAGAATTTCCTACATCTATCTATATAAGAAAGGGTCATAGTCTAATGGTCTCTATATCAAGGCTCAAATCTCTTTAGAACAAAATGAGCGTATAAATTTCTTCTACTTCTGTCTCGATCTCTCAAAGCCATCATAGACTCGCTCTCTTCTAATTTCTCTCTCTAAAGAACCATTATGGGAAATAAGAATGTAATAGTAGTGTTATTGTTGGTAATGCCCTTGTTGATGGCTGTGTCTTTAAGCAGCAACTTCACAGATGAATCTGCTCTTATAGCCATCAAATCTCATATCACTTCCGACTCCAATAACATCATAGCAAGCAACTGGTCAGAAGGAACCTCTTTTTGCAGTTGGGTCGGCATCTCTTGCAGCACTAGGCGCCCAAGAGTGACGCCCTTGAATCTTCCAAGCATGGGTCTTGGAGGTACCATTCCCAAAGAAATCGGCAACCTCTCATTCCTTAATTTTCTCAACATCAGTATTAACAACTTCGGTGGCAATCTCCCTCGTGAATTGGGCCACTTGCGTAGGCTGAAATCATTAGATTTGAGTTCCAATGAGATCTCTCGGGACTTGCCTACAAGTTTGGGGTTCTTAATCAAGCTACAAGTCCTGCATCTGTCTCACAATCATCTCACGGGATCTATTCCCCGAGAGATAGGTTTTCTTCATAGTTTACAGAGACTCGCCATCATTAACAATTCTATCTCAGGATTCATTCCTTCCACCATATTCAATATCTCCTCCTTGCGGGTGATTTTGTTGAATAATAACAGCCTATATGGGACCCTACCATTGGAAATGTGCAACAATCGTCTAAAGTTGCAAGCGTTGAATCTTGAAAGGAATCAGTTAAGTGGTCAACTGCCAACCAGTTTACACAAATGTACCCAACTTCAAGTTCTAGGGATATCAGTCAATGAATTCACAGGAAGCATACCTATGGGGATCAGCAACTTAACTAAGCTCAAACTGTTAGCACTCGCCAGGAATAACATGACAGGTAAGATTCCACATTCGGTTGTTAATATGTCCAACTTAGAGGCCATCGACATTGGTCAAAACAATATCCACGGCAGTATTCCTCGGGCATTGGGACAACTATTGAATTTAAATTTTTTATCCATGTCAGCTAACAACCTTGGTGGTGCACCACCACACTTAATTTTCAACATCTCTACATTGGAAGCCCTTCCCTCTCTACGAATCATTTTTTTGGGAATCTTCCGTCAACTATAGGCCTTTGGCTTCCAAATCTAAAGGTTTTTTTTTCCCTTTCTAGTAACCAATTCAGTGGACCAATTCCTTGCTCTATCTCAAATGCCTCAAAACTAACTAAAGTCTCTTTTAAGGATAACTTTTTCAACGGTAGTGTACCCATGACTCTTGGGAATTTACAGCACCTCCAAGATCTCAGCCTTGCATTGAATAACTTGACAAATTCTGGCCCTGAAATAGATTTTCTTTCTTCATTGACCAATTGCAAGCTTTTGAAGGTTTTAGCTATAGAAGGTAATCCCCTGAATGGCATTCTTCCAAAGTTCTAGGGAAATTTGTCCATTTCACTCCAAGAATTTTATGCACTTTCTAGTGGCATAAGAGGCATGATTCCTAGTGAAATTGGTAATTTGAGCAACCTAGTGTTATTGGAGTTGCAGGTAATCACTTGACAGGATCAATTCCTAATACATTCGGGCAGCTAAACAAAATCCAACGTTTGGGAATATCTGAAAATCTAATACAGGGGTTGATACCCAACTCTTTTAGCAATTTGACAAACCTAGGTAGGTTGATTTTGCGAAGAAATAAACTTTCTGGCCCAATTCCAAACCGTTTAGGACTAGTAACTTTATTACGAATCCTCTATTTAAGCTCCAATGCACTGACTTCAAAAATACCACCAACTTTGTGGAGCCTTGCGAATGTCATTACTCTAGACTTATCCTCCAATATTCTAACCGGCTGTCTACCTCCAGAAATTGGCAACTTGAAATACATTAGAAATTTGTTTATGTCAGAAAATCTGTTCACAGGTGAACTTCCAAGCACCATTGGTCAACTCCAGAGATTGGAATGCTTAAATCTATGTCAGAATAGATTTCAAGGCCCCATACCCTTGTCATTTTCAGATTTGATAAGCTTGATATCCTTGGACCTCTCTCGGAATGATCTTTCTGGTGTGATCCCCAAGTCGTTGGAGAAACTTTCATATCTTAAATATTTGAATGTTTCTTTCAATAGACTAACCGGAGAAATCCCCACTGGAGGACCTTTTGCCAACTTCACCCCCGAGTCTCTCAAGCAAAATGATGCGTTGTGCGGCGCACCTCAGTTCCATGTCAAAGCATGTAAAAGTCACAGAAAATTAGGAAAGATTCAAATTGTCCTAAAATTAATTGTACCATCAGTTGTTGCAGTAGTGGTAGTTGTAGTAGCTCTTTTAATTTGGTGGCTACAATTCCGAAACAAAAATAAGCAAATTCCGATTCAAGTTGATCCACCAATTAGCATAGCACATAGAAGAATTTCATATCATAAGATTCTTTATGCAACAAACCATTTTAGTGAAGGAAATTTGATTGGGAAGGGAAGCATTGGCACAGTATACAAAGGGACATTCTCTGATGGGATGATAGATGCTGTAAAGGTCTTTGATTTAGAATTGCAAAGAGCATTCACGAGTTTTGATGCAGAGTGTGAAGTAATTCGCAACATTCGCCACCGAAATCTTGTCAAGATAATCAGCAATTGCTCAAACCTCGATTTCAAAGCCTTGGTGCTTGAATACATGCCTAAGGGGAACATTGAGAATTGGCTTTATTCTCACGACTACTTTTTGAATATTGTCGAAAGATTAGGCATTATGATAGATGTGGCATCTGCCTTGGAGTATCTGCATTGTGGTTTCCTCAACCTCTGTTGTGCATTGTGACCTAAAGCCGAGTAACATCCTATTAGATGAAGACATGGTCGTGCATGTAGTTGACTTCGGCATAGCAAAGCTCTTGGCAGAGAACAAGTCAATAACACACACAAAGACCTTGGGCACCATTGGGTATATGGCACCAGGTAAACTTAATTCATTCTCTAATGATATGCTACACACAATCATTTAAATATTTTAGCTCTATATATCAATCTCCTGAAATATGAAAAAAAAAAAAAAAAACCACGGAGAGCATATAAACATTTGTGTTTCAATGTTTTTATTCTATTTGTATATGCTAATTTGTCATAAATAATACTCCCTCTGCTGTGAGTCACAGTTCCCAAAGCACCCAATTATTATGGGACATAAGGGGTAATAATAAGATAAGAACTACTATACATATTAACTAGTTCATTTTTCTTGTTCGGGCTAAGTATCTCCGTGTATTTTGCTTATCGTTCTTTTCTTCTCTATACATAATGTGTTATTTCTTTGTTGAGTTGACCATGAGTAGTGATGTCACAGAGTACGGGTTAGCTGGAATAGTGTCCGTTGCTGGTGATATTTATAGTTATAGAATCCTGTTGTTGGAAACATTTACAAGAAAGAAACCGACCGATGATCTATTCGTGGGAGAAGTGAGCTTAAAGAGTTGGGTATCTGAGTCTTTTCCAAGTGCAGTGATGGATGTTGTGGATGCTAATTTAGTGAGTGGAGAGGAAGAAAATTTTACTGCCATACAAAAAATTTTGCCATCTATCTTCAAATTGGCTCTAGAATGCACATCAGAGTTACCTGAGGAGAGGATTAACATGGAAGATGCCCTAGTTAGGCTCAAGAAGTTCAAAACCATAGTTCTTGAAATTTTAATGAGGCCTTGAATAAAGTGTGTCTGCAAGTAGTTCTGATTTGTTCTTTAATTATGAGTTCGAGGAAGTAATGTCTTATAGTAGAATATATCATGTTATGTTGAAGTTGGTCATACATGATCGATGTAACTTAATAAAATATATTTTTTTTCCAAGCAATTAACTTAATAGTTTATAAATAAATTTTTTTGCAATATCTTAAAAAAATTTAGCTTGTTCTACTTGCATCTATCTAACTATTATCTTTCATATAGAGCATATAAATTTTTATTTTTTTTTTCTCGTTTAACCACCAAATTTGAATTAGAATCTTAACTCATCACATAAAATGTCGTGAGAGTTGTTGACGACGGCCGTTCCAATACGCCAAACTAAATGTAGTGAATGTGTGGTTCAAGAAAAGCCTTTTATGTCAAATTTAAATTTATAAAAACCACTACCAACACCACTACTAACGTAGCAAGGGTGAGTAGGGATCGTCCCAAGGGATTATACGTGTTAGAATTTCAACTTCGACTCTAGCGTACCAAATAATTGCAAAAGAGAATTGGGTTGGTTGACTAAGCTAAATTGAATTCAACTAAATAAAATAATATGAAGTAAACAAGAGAGAGAGAGGTCTTGGGGTGTAGAGATCACCACCAAACAATACTATTCCAAACCATAATCAAGTGACTAATGAGGGAAATGAATGTGTTGCAACAATGTTGTGTGTGTAAAAGACATTCAATTGGTAAGGGTGACTCAACAAGTGCAAATTGTCTCAATCAACATGTGAAAGGCCACAATATATCTATTGGAAGAGGAATATATTGTCTAGACAACATGTGAAGAGAACAAAATATCAAATCAAGTCATTAAACATTTCATTAAGCTCATAGTCTAAATAATTCACAAGGATGACTTAGTTAAACATGTATTGTTTAAACATCATGTGAGAGGCCACAATATATCTATTGGGAGACGAATAAATTGTCTAAACACATGTGAAAGATACAACATATCATAACTAGTCATTAATCTTTCATTAAGCTCAAAATTCCATTACACCACAATATTAGAGCATATGCTTCTTGCATTCAAAAGCATGGAACATCAAAGAACAAGCATGAATTGTCTCCCCCATCTAACACTACACTACAACTACACTACTAGCATGAAAATAAACTAAGGGAGAGGTACAATCCATCAAGGAATAAGTATGAACCATCAAAAGACATAACAAGAGCATTTCATTAAGCATATCATCTTGATAATCTCTAGATCTATAGCATCAATACACATAGACATGCATCAAAAACACTAAATCTAGGGATAAGCACATGAATATCCTACTCTGGCATACATAGACATATGGATAGAATAGAATAGTCAATTGCAAGCATTAAACCATGCAAACCATGAAATAGTCAAGATTTATATATACATGAATATCAAGATGTATCATACAACACTAATCCCTCAATAATACACAAGATTAGAGTATAGAAAGCATGCTTGGGGCTAAATCTAGCCCCAAGAGGATGTCTAGCCACTCATGGTAGTGATGATCCAACCCTCAAGGGCTAACTCCATGGCTGCTCCTTGTTGGTGAAGATCTCCTTCAATGGTGCTCTAGCTTCCTTCCTTCCTCCTCTCCAAGAATAGCCTCCAAGATGATTTTCAATGTGTGACAAGAGACTCTAGAGACTCCCTCAAAAAGTGTATCATATTCCTTATATAGGTAGGTCAAATACACCCCATGATGAGCTGTGGTCATGCAAGGCATATTCTCCAATGATTGGATGAAGGACGGAATAAATGAGCTGGACTTTAACTTTTTCTCGCTGGAGGAAGTTCGATCGATCGAACCTTAACTTGGATCGATCAAAAATGGGTTCGATCGATCGAACTGAATCTTGGATCGATCGAAGTGGTCTGACTCCTCCGGATAATGACAAGGCTGGGATATTTTCAAGATATTTATAGGGAAAAAGACAAAAGTGGTTGGTAAGCGTACAGTTGTGGATAAGATCAATCACTTGAATATGACAAATTAGGGTTCGATCGATCGAAGGTGATGTTCGATCGATCGAACTTGGAATTTCAGCAAAGGCCAAGGTTGGATCTATCGAGAAGTACTGTGATCGATCATAGATGTTCGATCGATCGAACTCTAAGTTGGATCGATCGAACTTTTTAGCTGCACAACTTGATTCCTTTTTGCTCCTTTCTTTCTCCACTTTGCTCTCTCCTTTGGTTTATCTCAGGATTGCTTCAATTAAGCTCTTATTTGGCTGAGTTAGCTCAATTTTGGGATTAGTGCCTGAAAATATAAATAACACGTAATAAGTCTAAAACGGCAAAGTAAGATAGATAAAGGTACTAGAATGCTTAAGCTTAACGGGTTTAAATGCGCACTTTTCAGTACTCATCACACCCCCAAACTTAAATATTGCTAG